ATGTTTCATCCAGTTTATGGCCAGAAGAGAACTATTTTCAAATAACATTGAGAGGTTTGACAACCGCCCCCAAAAATGATACCACCTGGAGAGCCGCATTTAAGAACATGACAAGAGAGGTTAACATTACAGCAAGTGAGGAACTGGCTCTCATGATCAAGTACACAACTGGTGAGTCGAAAAGGTTTGTTCAGCGGTTGCACAATGCGTATACAGAAATCCAGCTGCTGGCGTTAGAGACTCTTGGAAGAAGTTGGGAGAACATTTTGGATCAACAGCAGTCGTTACCCAAGTGCACCTGAACAAGCTAGTAATGTTTCCAGCACTTACCCTGAAGGACAACAAAGGACCGCAGGAATTAGGTGACTTCCTCCTAGAACTCCAATGTGCTAAACAAGACTGAGGGCTTGCAGGCCTGAAAATCCTTGATGAACTGGCTTTTTTAAAACCATTGCTCATTAAATTACCTGGAGATCTTCAATCAAGGTGGCAAAGACACGCTTATCCATACAAGTCACAGCATAGTGTTGATTTTCCCCCATTCCAGGAATTTGCTTTATTTATCCAAGAAATTGCACGGGAGCGGAACGATCCCTACTTGTCTATCGAGATCCCAGCTGAGGAATCACAACAACCAAGACCTCCTTTAAAACCCCCTAAAGGCAAGCCTCCTAAAGGACTGCTCATCAAACCTCCTGCTGTGCCCCCTCCTGAAGTGACCAATGGCCCGATCTTTGGACAAGGACTGACTGCACTAAGGACTGAAGTCTCAGACTCTGCACCCAAGGACTCAGTTCCATGGGACCCAGCTAAATGGTGTGTTCTCCACAAGCTGTGTCATCCCCTTGGCAAGTGCCGTGCCTTTAGGTCCAAGTCCCTTGCTGAACGAAAGGCTCTGCTCACGCAACACGGGATCTGTTTTTGTTGCCTTGCCTCAACCAATCATCTGGCTAAGGACTGTATAGCAGTTGTCAAATGCAGCGAATGTCAAAGTGACAAACACATGGCAGCCTTAGACACGGCCCATCAACAAGCCAGCTACACAAGTTGGGCAGCAGCAAGGTGAGGAGCCAATCCAAGTTTCAGCCAG